TGCTTTGGGTGTATAATTAAGTGTTAATAGACGATACACCAAGAATATATAGATCAACATTAGTATGAGTGACCACCCAAGAGTTGAGCCAGCTGGTGTGGTTCTCATAACAAAGGTAGTATACAGTTGAATTTTTGGGGGGCAAGGTGAAAGCTTTCTGAGACACAATTGAATGGCCAGGTGCACTGCCGCTACTAAGTTTTGCTCTGGCTATTTTTTTATTTGCCACCCAAAGTTTAGATTATTATTTGTTTTGAAGCACAAATAGCTATACTTTCTTGTTTGACAGTGGTCTGATGTGTCCCCATGTGCTGAGTGTGTGGATGGGCTAGCTGCTTGGGTAACTTAGGCCATAGGCTCATGCGTTTAGTTCATATTCTGCTACCATTGTACAAGGTTGTTCCCTCACATGCTGTTGTTTTGCATACAATTTGTGTTGTGCAGTAGTGTACATTACTGCACCAGGCCCAATCAGCCAAGAATACAGTGTTCAAGCAGTGTTAAGACATAAAATGTGATTACAGTTATGTATACTGTACTGTACATTCAGTAAGTGTGTGAAAGTAACTATACAGTACATACAGTATTGTACATATATATATATATATATATATATATATATATATATATATATATATATATATATATATATATATATATATATATATATATATATATATATATATATATATATATATATATATATATATATATATATATATATATATATATATATATATATATATATATATATATATATATATATATATATATATATATATATATATATATATATATATATATATATATATATATATATATATATATATATATATATATATATATATATATATATATATAATTTTTATTTTTGTTTTACACTCGACTTGGGGTTTAAATTTCATCAAAAATATATTTTGTCATGTCCTTTGATTTCAGGAAAAGCAAACAATGCAGTACAATTATTCATAAATTTTATTTATAGTATGGTTGTTTTACCAACTCTCATTTTCAAGCCATTTTCCAGACACGATGGCCCAAAATTTTTCACTTAACACTTGCAGAAGATTGCAAAAATGGAAAGTGTACAGAGACAGAATCGATGCAAATTTTGGCGGACTATACATGTTGATTAGATGAGCACTGATTGGCTTTAAGGATGTAAACAATGATGACTGTGGACATGATTGTTGGTTCTTTAGGTTTGATGGAATTCTTTCTTTATTTTTTTTTTTTTATGGTAAAGCCTACTTACCACCTGTATTACTGTATATTTATTTATTTTTTCTTATGTTTCTTGCATGAAAATACATTAGATGAGACTCCATTATAAGTGGTTTACCTGTTGTCTGAAACTGTAATTCTAAACAAACATCCTCAGGCAGACAAGACAACAAAAGGTTCCAGGAAAGTACAAATACAGTTGTACTGTAGGAGAAGAGGATCAGTCTTTCCAAACCTTGGAAGAATATTATCATACAAAGGTGTATTGCATATTCTTGGACATCATCATCACATAAAATGCAAAGGAGATTCAAAGTGAATGACATTAATGGCACTTACAAAATGTTGAGCTTCTGTTTTTATCTGAAAGTCCCATCACAGTGGAAAGCAATGCTAACAGATTCTCTCCAAGAATCTGTACATACTATGTGTCAGTTTTTATGTTTTTGAAAAAGAAAAAGATAAGCTTTTGGCAGAACTGAAGGTTGCATACTCAGCTAGCTTGTTCAAGTGCCAAAAGTGATACTGTACAAGGATAATACAGTTGTGCTCAAGTGTATAAAGAATAACAACCTCATCATTACTTTTCCTGCTCTTTATTGGTTGTTGAAAATATATAAGCCGTGACGAGTAAAATGCGTTTAAAGTTAAGAAATGCGTAATTAACTCAAATATCACAAAATTTTCATAATTTTGCTGTTATTATTTATGGTTTGAAAGAAACTTTTGTTGCAATTTTTTTTTTACAATTATAATTACCCACACTAATTACAATTGAATTACAGTATACAACAAATAAGCTAATGATAAGTTGAGTAGTCCACATAAAAGTATACAAAGAGGTATTGCCGGCATTGACTGCAAATTTGGTTTTACCTGTAAACCTAAGAAAATAAGAGAAATAATGGAGTGGAAACTGCCGTGTCAACACCGTGTGGGCGAAGTGCTAGACTGCACGGGCTAGCATAATGCTCATTGGTCGACAGGTGGATGGTAGCTGGGAGGTGATTGGCTGTAACGCCCACCCTCTCTAGTCAGTAAGCTAGACCTGACATTACACCACACTTAGGAGTTGTGCATCAACTTTGTCCCTTGTACTACCTGGGATGAAGGTTGCTTTTACCATGGCTCACCCCCACCACCTCACTCTACAAGTTTCAGCCTGCGAGGGGAGAGAGTTTTCGGAAAATTGAAAAGGTGGCGAGTTCGCCCTTCCTTCTCGCATCGCCTCATATGTAACTCTGCCTGTATTTGCTGAAACAGTGGACTTCTACTTTTTTTTTAACAGAGCTATAAAATCAAAGGTTCACAGCCTCTGCAAGGAGGACAGGCTGTCGGACCTAATGCTGCTTGCCATAGTGAGGAACATCCCAATCAACTAAAACAAAGTCATTAAAATTATCAAGACGAGTGCCAACAGGCAAGTTGAAGTACAGGCAAGTGCATCTTTTGTGTTTTCTCTCCTGATACACCACCTGAGATGGATGTACTGTACCAACACTTCAGTTGTGTTAAGTGAATTAGATATGTGTGTGTTGCTTAACTAAAATACAGTACAATATAACTAAAATTACTTTTAAACTGTTCAAACCATTATTGAACTGAGATTAGGCCTAAAAAACTTTCTATAAAAATAATACAGTAATGTCTTTTTTTCTGCACCACAGTGAGGAAGAGAGTGTACCACACTGAGGAAGAGAGTGTACCACAGTGAGGAAGAGAGTGTACCACACTGAAGAAGAGTGTGTACCACACTGAGGAAGAATGTACCACACTGAGGAAGAGTGTACCACACTGAGGAAGAGTGTACCACACTGAGGAAGAGTGTGTACCACACTGAGGAAGAGTGTGTACCACACTGAGGAAGAGAGTGTACCATACTGAGGAAGAGTGTGTACCACACTGAGGAAGAATGTACCACACTGAGGAAGAGAGTGTCCCACACTGAGGAAGAATGTACCACACTGAGGAAGAGTGTACCACACTGAGGAAGAGTGTACCACACTGAGGAAGAGTGTGTACCACACTGAGGAAGAAAGTGTACCACACTGAGGAAGAGAGTGTACCTCACTGAGGAAGAGTGTACCACACTGAGGAAGACAGTGTACCACACTGAGGAAGAGAGTGTACCACATGGTCATCAAAAATTTCAACACAGTCAATAAAAGACAATAGGCAGTTTCTTCTGTGATGATCAAGACAAGTGCATCTTTTGCATTTTCTATACAAACCAGTATTCTACCTGGAATGGAGCAATATTCAGTACCACCACTTTTCAGTTACAGATATTTCAATCACTTTTACGAAAAAAGTAATTATGAAACTAAATCACTGATTGAAAAAGAATATTGTTTCTACAACAGAGTGAAAAGTAGGAAGTGCATGTCACAGAAGTAATGCATCAGCATAAAGCTTTCTAAAGAGTTTGCATATGAAGAAACTAAAGCTGTTATTTACTTGTTCACTGGCAGCATCATTCACTTAACATGTGTGTATTGTTCTTTGATTCCTCACTGGAGAACTTGTAATTTTTTCATGGAAAGTCTGAAAGTTTTGTTGTAGTGTCAAGTTTGTCAAACTTGTTAATAATGCATTTAGTAATGTATTATACTGTAAATATCAGCTGGAAGAAATACAAAGATTTTCTATAGTAAGGTAGAGTAACTAATGTTAGTTTATAGTAAGAAAGGATAACCGAAACAACATATTCAACTCCAGCATGTTGCATAAATTACCCTCTTATAGCTCATCTAAATGCAGCATATAGCCGTTAAATTTTGAACAACTTCTTGGGGAAGACACCCTTAGAGATGCTCTTTTTCTTGCTGTGAGCACAGGTCGCTCTAATGTTCTGCTGGATGGTGATATTCACTGGTGCTGGAACCTAACATCAATTTTCCCAAAGAATACATTGATTCTTAGTACAGTATTGGGTATATAATAATATATGTCATTTTCCAGGAATGCATTACAATACAATGACTAATCTACTGTATAGACATGATATTAATTATACTTGTGCAGGTACACAGGAGTTATCATGCCATCAGCATACACTTCCAAGATGACTATAGATGAAATTCATGAGTGGTTCAAAGACATAAGCTTCCCATTAGGGATTACTCTTTGGACTGGTCTAATTGCACCATTCAAGACCTAACAAGGACAGTCTTGTCTAGTATGCAGTTGGAACTCGGTATTATATTTTCCTTTCTACACCTTAAACACCTAGTATACCAAGATAATACCTCAAGTTAAATGTTGCTGAGGCTTGATGTGGCTGAAGAAAACAAACTTTGAAATAGACTAAATACAGTATTTTGTAAATCAGATTAAAGTAAAAGTTAAGCTTCCCAAGCCAACCTTAAATGATATGAAGTGTGACATTAAATGAAGAATTGATTACTAAAAAAAAGATTGTTATAAAAGTATATTGCAAATGTTTAAATTTTTCCTGGTACAGTATTGTACATGATAGCACCCTCATCCATGAGTTGATAATTACTCTGCTTTAAATAGCAATGGCTCTTTCTTTGTAGGACCTCGAGGGCTCCAGGTATATCTAGAAGGAGTTACCCTGTTTCTTTCTAAGGTGACAAGTGGGTTGTCAATAAAGCTGTAGCTGACAGATAGAGTTTGAGTCTATCATTCCACAATTACTCATTAAATGGGATTTCAGAATTCATATCTAGAGTTTTGTCATTTGGATGCATTAATTACATGTATACATATTTCATATTATTCAAAATCATTAATTCTCATATGTCTTTATACAGGGTGGAGAGGGAGATGGCGGTGAAGGAGAAAAAATTAAAGTAGAAGGAGATGACGGCATAGAAGCAGAGGAGAAGACTGCACTAAACCATATAGCCTTAAGGTAATGAAAAATATGATAGAGTTTTAAGGCAACTTTAACCTTTATTTTTCTTACATAACAAACCTGGCCTAGAAATTTATTCACAAATTAAAAGCAGTTTGTAAATCTCTCTTCAGATTTTGTAACCGAGGTACTGTACGTAGTTGTAAGTTTTGCTGCTTCGGCCATTTAATCACTTGTGTACGGGATCCCGTCTGTGTCAAATAAAACTGTCTAGCATTAGCCAAATAAAATAATAAAAGTGGCTTCCCTATAGTGAAGAGGTAAGTGGTGTCAACGTGTAAACAACACACAACAGTAATTGTGATGTCATTAACTGCTCTCCTACTCTGTGTAGCATTGTTTTGTAGTGTACATTATTTTGTACATTACTACAAGTCACTGATTTATGTTAGAGGCGTGTTTATAGAAAATGTGATGTAAATAGGACATGTTTTACCTTTAGATTTAGTGCTATAATTAGTGAACTTGGTACAGTCAGCTGTCAGTTGGCTGTTTATATTAATTTTAGATATCTGACACTGTTTTTGGTTGAAGATAATTTTTTTGCATGTATTGTTCCTGTATTTATTTGCTCTTTAATATTATAAGTACCAAACAGTAAATAGACTTGTAACATTACCTTTACTGAGAAGTTTTTTAAATCAGTTTTAATTATGAAGAGTTTTTCTTCTCATTTGTTGGTTTTCATTAAGGTAATATTTTTCTCTTCAATTCATATCTGACTAAGTGTTCCCTAGTCCTTTGTTTCCTTTAATAAAACATGTTGAGTATGTTGTGTCTAGCAGTGTAATGAATGCATAGCCTCTTTTTAATTTAAGCTGAGCACATAGGAAGAGAAATATTCTCTTACATGAAAATTCTGTTCCTGTGCATAGGAAGTCCATCCACTTTGACTTTATACTTCCAGAGATGGAGAAGCAGTGAGCCACACCAAAGTTCATCTCGAGATGGATGAAGGGGAAGATGGACAAAAGTATGACGATTACGAGGGTGATGATGACCTCGGCGAAGGTGAGGATGATTCATAAAAAATTTGACACTTAATGACTTTATGTTTCAGTAAAGAGAGACATATCCGGTTTGAAAATATTTTTTACTTAATTTTGGATATTGATTTAGCACGTAGCTGTTGTTTATAAGTTGTCATGCCGTACATATTTTTTGTTTAACGATATCTGAATGTTACTGAATACGTTAGGTAACATTGTGTGTACAGTATATATATATATATATGCTGTATATATACAGACAGACAGGAGGTCCCCGACTTACGAACGCCCGCCGATATGAACAGGGTTAAACTTGAAATTTACAGTACAGTATTTCATTTACCTGATGACTTATTTTTTTACTTTCATTTACTGTATTTTGTCATATTATTTCTTCTTTTGTTTTAAATTAACTAATTTTAGGTGTGCTGTATATAAGGACGATATACGTATAGCACTTGTTTAGCACTTGTTCTGACTTAGGAACAAATCTGACTTACGAACGTCCTCAGGAACGGAACCCGTTCGTAACCCCAGGGACTCCTTGTGTGTATATATATAATGGTCAGATATTAATAGCAGTGATAACTAAATATGAATACAGTATAGTACAATACTGATAGAAAGTAATTACACCTTCACTCTTAGAGAAGAATATAAAAGGTAAACCAGTATATTTAACCTTTACATTATGGTTGGGATGAAAATGGCAAATTTCTGATCTTTATTTAAGAAAGCTTGATGCATGTGACTTGTTGATTCATTTGTCATATTACTGTCTTAACATCTCTCTGTGGTTCTTCAGTGAGTGACCACTAAGAGCCTACCAAACTGAATGCCATATGACTGAGCCTGCTAAATGCCATAAGGCATGATAGCTCAGTAGCAGGACATTTTATTCAAGTGAATAACACATTTGTTGTCAGTGCAGGTCCACATAGTGGACCCAGAGCCTTTGAAGGTATCCGGTAGGTAATTTTTTCATTGAGAGTCAAATTTCATATGATAACCTCACAACAAATTAAATTAAATCTTTGAAAAGTTTTATGGAATTCTTCCAAAGAATTAAGAAATGAAATTTGTCATATTCGTTAGACGAAAAAGATGTACACTATTTTGTCATGTTCACACTGACAGTTCTAATAATTTTTAATGCTAGATAACCAGTCGTGCCACTTTTGAGTGCTCTCTTTTTGACTCGAGCGAACTCCAAGAATCATTATGCAGTCTTCCACAGTAGTGGTGGATATCCTCAAAAGTTGTATCAGTTTACTTCTCAATAGACAAAATCTGTTCTTACTCATTCATAGACAAGAATCAAGTAGAAAGACATTGAATCTCACAAAGACTGTGCCAAAAATTGACTGTTTTAACTAAGTAGTATTAATGCCCCCCTTGTTTTTATGTAAGTAAACTCTTACTCCATTTAGGTGTTATGCTACTGAGTCAAACCTTAAAGTCAGGTGGGATGGTTCGGTTGCCATTCTTTCCATTTCTCTTTGAAGGATAAGGATCTGGGTTAACCAGTTACATAAAAAAAATCTATAAAATAAAACAAATTTTTTTACCTCAAGAATGAAGCAAATTGGATGAAGGGATAGCACTTTTCGTAATCTGATTCTTTCGCTAGTTTATCTTGAAAAAAAATGCCCTGTGCTGTCTGCAGGACGTCATCTTGTTTGTCTTAACGTTTCAGAAACATTAAAGCTACAGTAATCTGTTTCATATTAACCAAGAAACAACAGCAATAACTTTAGTCAAATTTTATATAGTGTAGAAGATGATGATAAATTATTCTTTCTTACGTTAATAATATAATATTATCTCCAGAAAGGAGAGATATAAGTAAGATTTGCAGTTTCATATTATTATTAGTTTGGCGATAGAAACACGGCTGTTTCCCAGCAGCAGCAGCATCATTCTTTCCATTCACACAGACACTTCCAGTGAACTTTATTATTGTCATAAGTACTTGTAGGGATTAGTGTACATATTAAAGCTTTATTTTTTATGTACTGAATAGTAATCTAATGTATTTAGGTTGTGGTCACCTGAAAAGATAATTATGTACAATTAAAGGCAGTCAGGCTACCAAGTTTTATTTTTGTATACTAAATAAGGCTTTAAAATGTACAGTATACTGCCATAATTACTGTACTCATTATTTTTTAGGGAAAGTGTATGGATTAGATCAATGTTATAATTTATTTTTTTTTTCTGCGAGGCATAAGTGTGCAAAAGGCTGGGAGCTAGGATGTGGCAGCCTCCTGCCCTTCCTCTTTCACCATAACACTACAGTTCGAGGTTCCTTTATCCAAAAACCATGGGGCCGATTGTGTTACAGTTTTCAGATATTTTGGCTTTTGAAAAATATTACATTTCATAAAAACAGCTCAAGTCAAGGCGAGTCTATCCAGTACAATCCCAGATCCAAACCTCAAATGATTTATTTTTATATACACTACCTCTTTTTACTTGCATAGGAGAAATTTTTACAGCAAAAATTATTTTGCTTCTTCAATTCTTAAGGTATTTAGTAGTGTAGCTAAAAAGTTAGCAATGATTAGTGTAAACACAGAAGTTTGTGTATTATAGGTGAAGGTGCATGAAGACAGCATCAGTCAGGTCCTCTAACTGACACAACCAGCTGCTCTGCAGACTTGGCTTGGATTTATCAGTGTAGAGATTATCTGTGTCTCAGGGAGCTGTGACTCTTCCTTGTTAACTAAGAGGATGCTTAGAAGTTGAACATATAATGCTAAGTTCTCACCCTGTAAAACTGGGTTCATGAAAGGAAAGGTATCCAGCAAAAATTTTTTTAGGACTTATTTGATGGCAGCCAAGATAACATGCCATCAGGCAATCATGGCTAACCCACACAAGCATGGAAAATGGCCATAAAATGGTGATGATAATGATGATGGTCAATGTAATGTACTGCAGCTTTTATATATTTCACTGCAATCTTTGTTATAGGTGTGGGTTTAATAGGCAGTAAGGTCCTGCTTAATGAGCAATATGCTTCCTTGAAAAAAATGCTCGTTTGGTGAATTCTCATTCAACGGAACCCATTTTCCCATGTTAAAATCTGAGACGTGTTCCCTCCCCAAAATTTACCGACCCCAAACCCCAGGGGATAAACTTATGAGAGCTTCAGCCCAAAGAATTTCAACCCTGTGATCAGTTACAGGTGTTGTATGTGCACATGAATGCCACTAAAAATGTCACTATCAACCATGATGCTTGGGACATCTTGAAGTAACCTCCACAATGATATGAACGTACCACAAATCATATATTAACTAAAAACATTTGTGTTTATCGGTGCATTTCTAAAAAAATTAAATACACCTGTATTTATTAGTGAAGAAGCAACATGATCAAGCAGCATCTGCTTAGCTTGCAGTGTGTTGTGGGTGTTATGTCAGTCCGTGGATGTTTAAATGAAGGCAGGATACATGGAAATGTGTACCATACCTGTATTTACAATGTCATCTGTTAACTGCATACAGTGGTCCCTCGGTTAACGAGCGCCTCGGTTAACGAGATTTCGGTTAACGAGTTACCTTCCATAAGATTCTTAATTTCGGTTAACGAGCAATCCCTCGATTAACGAGTTTCTTACGAGCCGACCTCCACATGTTTTAGCTTGCATTTGGCGGTCCACCAGCTGTAGTATTAGTCCGCCAATACTGTAATCGGTTCTAGGGCTTAAATTCCTTACCCTTTTACTAAATATCAAGAAGTTTATACTATTCAATAATTTTAAAAGTTTAATATTAAATTTTTTAGTCATTTTAACAATTATTGAACATAATTGAAGGTAGGGTCACTAGTTTGTGGCACGCCATCCAGCCTGCCAACACAGCATATAGGCGTCAGTCTTTGTGTCTTTTCAGTGAAGGTAACGTCTTGCTTGAGACTCACTTCAACTAAACGCTTTTTTTTCTGTGTTTGCAAGCAAATTATTGGTCATTTTGAAATTTATTTTACATATTGACAATATATAATGCAGTGATGATTTAAAGAAAATAATATTGAATTACACCAAGAGAACTAAAATTTTATGGGTGAAATGGTGCCATGGGGTGACTTCTCTTCCACCCCAATGCCTTCTCTTCTCCCTTCTCCTCCACCCCCATTCTAATTCCCATCATCATCATCATCATCCAGGAGCTTTCTACATACACACCTCAAAGTAAGTGTACTTTTCTACCTTTTTTGTTGAATTTAGGCAATTTTCGGTGAGCTGGAACCAATTACCCAAAAACCCATTGAAACAATGGTTTCGGTTACCGAGTTTTTCGGTTAACGAGCAACCTTCTAGAATGGATTGTGCTCGTTAACCGAGGGACCACTGTATCATATTATGAGGAATACTATAGCCATTTAAAGGTAGTTACATTAATTAAAATTTTTGTATTTCTTCATAATATTCATGAAGTGCTGTAATTACACTCGTCCTGTGAGCAATAGCCAATGTAAACAATGCACATTATGTTTTCTCTTGTGTTTGTTTTAACATTTTTAGGGCAGCAAACCTGGTTAGAATCCACAATGCTTTCTGAATAATGAAAAAGCACTGTGGATGTTACAAGTGCACAGGTGATACTGGCTGGTGTATAGAAACTAAGCTGGCTACTCAGGTTGGGTCAACCTGTTAATGACTTCACTTCGGAGTAAAGAAAATGAGTAAAAAAGTGCATTGACTGCTCAGCTAATGACAAAGCATGACTAGCCCCACACAAAAAGGAGGTTGTGAGTTGGTTTAATAATAATTTTGCTCAATAAATCAAATCGAAGTTCATTCATTGAATTTTCATTACCTAAAATACTTTGCTCATTAAAACAAATATTGCATATACTCATTCATCTAGTGCTCATTCAGCAGGACCTTACTGCATAGAGGGTTTGGCTTGGGTTCATCTCATGATCACTCAATATACTCAGTCAGTCTCTCTTAAATTTGAGGCTCCTCTCTAATATGGAATCCAACTCCAAATCGACTGATATGGCAGCACTGTGAGGTTGGGGTTGCAAATAGGGAGTTGGTGTACATTAACTAACTCGCTATAACGAGAAACTCACAAACACATAAATTACAAATAGCGAGGGTCTACTGTACTGTGGTTCCTCCCTTTTGATGCTCTACCACAACAGTGGAAGTGTTACTTTTGTTTGCTCACATATCTTTTCATACATAATTCCGTGTGACATGAATTATCTCAGACACTATTTTTCATACAGTCATGAAAATTCACGTGCATCTTTATACTTACCACAGCAGCATATCCAAAAAAAGTTACTGAACTTTTTGCACATTTTTGATTTGGTTGTTTTATGCTTTTTATCATTATGTTCAGTTAATGTTTGAGGTTAACGTGTGTGGAAAAAGTGCAGTACACATCATCTGTGTCACGGATACAGTCTCTAGTGTTTTAGTAATGATGTGCCTATTTAATTCTTTTTAGGGTTTAAGGTGTCCTCTTATCATTTTAAATTGCCTATAAAGTGTTACAATTGTACAGTACTGTATATCATTAGTCACCAGCATGTCTGCTGTAGTACTGACAAGAGTTAAATGGTCAGATGTTGATATGGATATACAGGTACAGAGCCTTCATTCAGATCACACCTAAGTAACTCTTAATTAGTAAATAAGTTTTACTTTATGAATTGTGTGTTTTTCTTCTTCATAATTTCTGAACATGTTATTTATTTTCATATTTAATTCCATCAGTTTAGTTTTTATTTTACCCTGCTCATTGTACTTCCTTCTCCTTTACCATCTGTCAAACTTTTGATGTGTGTATTTATCCCTTTTCATACTCATATCTTTTCCCCCCAATATTTACCCACCTAAATGTCAACCTCATTTATTATTCCCCTTTTCCTTACACTTTTATGATTTCTTTGGTTTTCTCAAATAGCTTTCTTCTTTTCAACAGTTTTCTTATCACTCAGTTTTTATATTCCTCTATCTGTGCACTTAGAGAGCTTGCTCAATCTATCCTCATACCTTAAAGGCCTCGTAGTAGTGCAGGTCTTCTATAATCCCTCTCTGTTTGCCTTCACTCTTTCTGTCTCCAGTTTTGTTTATGTACGTTTCCTTTCTGCTTTCTACTTTAATCCTCATTCTGTATTTTAGATGGCCATGTCTGTAGCTCTCTTATTTTCTCTGCCATGATCTTTGGCCTGGCTCTTGTCCACCTTACCTGTCATCCCAATATACCTTCTGTCCTTTCCTTGCTACCTGCTCCTCCTGATTCCCCTGGCCAGGTATCCTCCCCCTGGCCAGGCCCCTACTGACCTGCCTCACCACCTTGGCTGCTGGTGTGTTGCAGAAGAAGAGGATGATGGTGATGGAGAGGAACGCCCACAAGGAATGCGGCCCCGCCGTGCCTCGCAACTTAGTACCGCCACCAAAATCAAGCCTTTGCCCCCGTACTCCAGCTTTTTTATTTTCTCCCACACAAACAGGTATGTTTGTGTGCCACAGATATAAGGCACACTCTGCCATACCCAAGCAATATTTATATCTTCAGTTCCTCCCCCCCCCAAACCCCCACCCCCCCAAAAAAACAAGCGGCACAAACAACCCTCGGGGTCATGTAGGTTTTGGCCAGAGATGATCTTTTATTTATTTATTGTTTATTTTTTTCCACCTATTGCTTTATCTTAATTTTTCCTTAAATGTACTATTTTGCTTGTTATAGGCTATGCCTATATAGCATGTATTACACAGTACATACTGTAGATATTCCTTTTTATTGGATAAACCAATCTGAAACACTTTGATTACTTAAATATGTTAGAAAAGGCTCAATTCCTTTGTTTATTTGTCTGTATCACCTCCGCCATCACCTCCATGATCCCTGGTGAGAACAGAAGAAAGCAAGTCAGTCAAAGCAGTAATGGGATTTGCCCTGTTACTTTGCTGCCGTGACTGAAGTGCTTGTTCCTTGTAAACCAACGCATGGTTTCTGTTGGTTTAGTTAATCCTTAAAGGTCGCATTCTCCATCGTTCTTTTTCTAGAGGGGGACTACGATGAAACTGAGGGCGAGGATGGAGAGATGGTCCAAGTTTCACGACCTCCCCAAAACGAAAGCAGCACAACTAAAGTTCAGCCCATTCCAAAATACTCCTCTTTCTTCATTTTTACCCATACAAACAGGTGATCTTAGAGCCCTCCCTACTACTTCTGTAACTGCTGTATCATCTACTGTATACTGCTGCTACTTCTGTAACTCCTGTACTATTGACTATTATACTTTGTGTGCTGAGATGATGGGTGTTTCGTGTGGTAAACAGAGCAGTTTTTGAAAATGAAGAATGGCCCAACGGCATTGCTCCATATTGCCTGTGTGTGGATACTGGCTTAAAAAAATCTTTTGATTATACTTACAGTAAGTAATGCATCTCTAGGTAAGGCAGATGTAAATACCTTTGATAGAAGATACACATCATTTATGGTCTATGGTCCTTTGGTAGTGTGACCTGTGAGATTTCTCGCATTAAACACTACTTGAAAGCACCTGCCGTGTTGTGGAGTATAATTAGTCAACGGCAGTAAACATTTTCCTGCAAATAATCCAATTAAAGTAAAAACAACTACTCACCTTAACTCGTCAGGAACCTAATTAGGTATCTATTGATGATGTGGTTGTCTCTGATGGCTAGTGAAGTCATAGAACGCTCATTGAACACCTTAAAAAAAATGAAACGTGCCATCTTGGGTTTCCTGGAACTAGCTCCAACAACTTTATTTCTGTTTATTCAGCTGAGCAGATAACACTTTTCTTTCTATGGCCTTTAGGAGGATAGTTTTTACCAGTTCAGCTCTATGATGAGGAGCTTAGTCTGCATCCAGATGAGCCTGTTCTCAGGCCAAGTCTATCAGCCCAGAAATATTTCAGCTGTGCTGGGAAGAGGATACTTTGTAGTCTGTTATACATTGTCTGAAGAATTAGTCAGAATTAGTACACATAGTGTGCATAAAGGGATCAGTGGCTTCAATCTTATTTCAGGTACAGTATTTGGCTTTTTTTCTTTTGAATTACCATATTAGAAAAACTGCTCAATATTTTTTCTGAAATTCTGAAGGTTGAAGACCATGTATAGCCGAATTATGCACATAAAGTATTAATGGTTTGAATCATTTTTTAGTAGTTATTTGGTTTTAGTTTGTTATTATTATGAAAGAGATTGGAAGAAAAATTATGAGAACTAGAATTCTCTTAAAAACTGGTGTTATAGAAGCATAGAATATTGAATGTAGATAGACTACATAATAAAACTGAAAGAGATTTATTTTTGTCCTTGAAGATTAATTCTAAAACAGTGTATTCAAATTTCTTGAAACCTTCAATACACTATCCAATGGTATCCACACACAGTTGCACTTGGTGGGTGCGCGTGATGTCGTAGATTAGTGATACCGCCTTCAGTGTGGACTCCGCCCAGTATCCTATTTTTATTTTAGCCAAAGGAAAATAAACATAGCAACCTCTGATATTTATATTTTTTATCATTGTTTCCTTTAAGTTTTTATTAAACAAAAGTTATGTTAAACTCGCTCTCAAATGTAGTGTTTGTTATTTTGTTATATATACTGTATATATGTATATGTATAATTGTACACTCCTACTCTATCATACAGATATGTCCCTTTAGTCCTCATATAAGAGTGATATGTGAATGAGATTATTCAGGATTTTATAGGAGAAACTAAACTATGTACCAGACCCTAAAATATGTACTGAAAGTTATGACACCCAAGCAGATCTACATGATTATTGTATTAATTGCTTATTAAACTAGTAAAGATCTTTTTAAACATTGACAATTACTAAGAACAAAAAAACAGTACAGGTATATATAATATATGGACTCATGTTCTGTGGTCACAGTTTCAAATCAAAGGCTGTGTAAGGGATTGTATTGACACAATGATACTTTACAAATCTTTGAGAATTGGTATAAATCTGTCTCGGTATTAAGTGAAGTTAAAGTCTTTGGAGATATAGGGTGTTTAATTTGTTTAGCTAAAACATGTGTACAACTTCCCCTAAATATCATGTTTTATAGATTTTAATTTTTTTTTTACTGTGGGATGACATTTAAATTAACATAAAATATCCTAATCTGCTATAAATCATAAACTGTACATTACAACTACATTCTTCTCCACTTACCATGACCAAGGCTCTGTAATGCCATAAAGCCAGGTAGTGGCATGTTGTTGTTTCTAATCTTGGTAAGGTGATCATCACTCTAACCATTTTCTTGTTATTCGGGAATGAATGCTTCCTCTGTTGCTTTCTACTCAAGGTCTACTGAGGTATGTGTCTGATGTTATTGGTCAGATGGACACATCTTGCTGAACAAGGCAGATGATAGATATATGTATACTATAGTAAATATACCTAACACAGTAACAGTATGGTGACTCAGTGAATGGGGAGGTGTAAAGAAGTACGTATGTGTCTTGTGGAGTGTGTTAGTGATTTACCATGCAACATAAATCAACAGATTGCAAGTCCCTCATAAAATACTGAAAAATTAAAAAAATATTATTGTGAAAATTTACAAAACACAAAGTGATAATTAAACATTCGTGGGGCATCACTGTACAGGTAGTCCTCAGTTAGCATGATAGATACATTCCTAAAAATTATCTTGTTATGCACTGTTGATAAGTAATGGGCATACACTGGTTGTAGAATGTGCCTGGCCGTGTCGTTATTGAGCTCACATTCATTGCCGTCACAACCCTCTCTGGCAGGTTGTTCGAAGTTTTCACAACTCCAAAAAAGTTAGCTCTGATAATTTTCTGTAATTATGGTTTCTTTAATCCAAGTCTGCCACATCTAGTGAGGCAGGCATCCACTAGCTCGAGTTTTGAACACTTAACTTGAGTAATATAGGCTGAGATGTTTATAAACTTTTATTAAAGCACCCCCTGCCTGTCCATAGTATAAGCTAGGCAACTAATCTTTCTTGATAAGTGAGGTGCTGGAGTGTCACAATGTTATCTTGTGCTACATTTTTTTTCCATCCTCTTAATATCATTGTCTTAATGTAGTGATATTTTCAAAATCTAATTGCATATATACACACACAGTATATCTGATCTGTGGCCACAAACATGACTGCTAAAGTTACTAGAAGTTATTTTTAGATGATTTTGGAAGTTAAATTTTTTTTTTAGGTATTTATTAAGATTGCCTAAGGGTCTGAGGTGGCCAGAATATTGAGTGATAAAGTGGTTGATTGTACTATGGAGTAAAAATTCATTCCCCTATATAGTCCATTGACAGTCTTACACTGGGAAGAAATGCAGAGTTCTGGCATGGAGTGGGAGTGTACTTTATGTTTTATCTTTTGTACAGAGGACTATGTAATTTCTTTTGGAAGATTTTATTCAGTGTATATGCTATGTAGTTTTCCAAAATTGAACATTTGAATTACTTGTTTGTTCATTTGGAAAACTATTTCCACAAACTTACAAAATTGCAGTTCCTTTTGTTTCAAAACAAATAAGAAAATTATGATCATGAAGCAAAGGTAGTAGATTTATGCTAAAAATATTTGAATATCTGAATAAGTCAAGTTTTACTCAGGATATATGATAAAGTGAAGAAAGGTGTCCTGAATCAGAGTTACCTGTATTTATATTTGTATTGTAGATAAATTTAGCTCTTAAAATTGCATTGCATTCATAATACAAAGTAAATCTCTACCTTGGCAACTCAACCAAACTTGGCTTGCAGACTCTGTCCTATGACAGCAGACACATGACAACCACAGCATGGAAGCCATTTTGCGCATCACTTAGTTAGCCTTTGTATTCATATTTAACGAGATCAGTGATACCATGTACGATGAGGTTTAGACCAGTGGTTGAATATTTTCTGTATAAGTGCAATATATGACCAAATTCTTGCTGCAATCTATGAGTATGGACAGTGAGACTAGTCAAAGAAGGAGGAAATTTTAAAGGAAGTTAGTCTGTTTAAAGTAGTGACTGCCTCATCCTAACACATCTCGGGATAGTTTTGTATATTTTGGTTCAGTTCAGTGGTTCACTGTTGTTTTAACTCAGGGGTCTGTAACCCCTGGGTTAAAAAGTTAGGGATCCTCCCCTACTAAATTATTGAGTCCCAGAGGACCAGAGTCCATCACATTTTCACTTCAAAATAGTCATTGTCATTTTCGTAATAAAAAAATATTGTAAGAAGTTTAAATTCTATTTCTCTATTCAGTAAAAACTAGTGCGAGTCATTATCCATAATGAAAACAGTATGTATTACAAGTACATTAGTTTTTCCCTCATTTAGAGGTAATAGGTAGATGGAAATTTTCTCTAGCACTCGGGGTCTCCCTGCCCAGGTGACAAGTGGGGACATCGGGCCGACGTCCTCAATGACTAACTCCCTGCCTTGACCGTCACTGATCACCCAATGTTGACCTCACATTACCTGACACACCACAGGAAATAGTTTAAACTTTTTAGCTGTTTCATATTGACCTAACATGACTTGGTAAATTGTGGCAACAGCCCCTTTAATGTCTAATTCAGTGGATCAGCTTTGAGTATAATATTTCTGACTCTTCCAATTAAACATCATTAATCATTGAGTTATAGGGTACTTGGGTGCATACACTTTTAGGTTGATGGTGAACATCCCTCAGCAAAATTCCTATATGTACCACTGAATATACAAGGTTTACGCCCATGCTTTTTGGCTCAAATTGTGTCATGGACCTAGGACTCTTGAATTTCCCCAATGATAATATAGTATTTAGACATACATATGCTATACAAAAGAAATATCTGAGAATGCAAATATTTTTATTTTAAGAAAAAAGCCTTTTTTTTTTCCAAAAAACTGTTTTTGTGATATAGTCCAGAATGTTACGCCTTGCTTATACCTAGGTCTGTTAATGCCTAGCAATAACTCACCAGGCCAACATACAGGCAATTAAAACATCTAATAATTACTTAATAAGTACAGTAATAGTAGGAGGACACGTCGCTACCTGGCATAGAATAAAAATATTTGCCTTATTTCAAGTTCCACTTAATTCTGTTAATACATTTTAAAGGTAAGCTTTTGGTCTTCTGTCTGAGTTTCATATGTTAAAGCAAAATATTAGTAGGATAAAAAGGGT